TGCGGTCATAGCTCACCTGGCAGAAGTGTTCCTATGGCACACCTGGTTGGACTGATGTTATAGCTCACCTGGCTGGAATGCAGTCATAGCTCACCTGGCAGAAGTATTGCCATGGCACACCTGGTTGGACTGGTGTTACAGTTCAACCTGATTTGAGTGTTGCAATAGCTCACCTGGTCCAAGGCCTTCAGGAGTATCCTGACAACAGGCCTGCAGTAATGGTGTAGGTACAATAACAAACAGTTCTCATGCTTTACACAAAACTAGCAGAGAATGCAAATGTGTCCTTTACAAGGTCCTCAACATATCTGAATCTAGCTGAGTCAAATGATACCTACTGTAAGTAAGACATCTTGATATAACAAGCTGATGGGGGACACTAGTACAACAGGCAAGCATCTGCTCAGCTCTGAACAACCACCATGGAATAGCACCTTCAGTTGAATGTAGGACTTCAAGGCAAGATAGATATAAAATGTGGATAGGAAGACGTACATCTCCAACACACCATTTTCCACTGATCTCTTTCACTATAAATCAGGACCCACTTGCACAAAACGATCTTAGCGCTAAGGCTATCGTAAGCCTATGTTAAAGTATGGGAGTTAAGATCATCTTAGCGCTAAGATCGCTTTGTGCAAGTGGGCCCAGGTCTGCAGTAGCTGACTACTGACAATGACATTAATAACCTGTGAGGATAGTATCTATCAGATTATTTTTACAACACTGCTGAGTTTCAGTTTATCATAAACTTTTCATTACTTGCCTTTTTCACATCGTACAAATAATATTTGGCTCATAAAAAAATAAACAAACACTGTGATGAAACAAATGTCATTTGCTGTTTCATATTCAGAAAATCATGCAACAATGTTGACAGAATAGAACAGAGGGTATGCATGTCACAAGCATGAGACACACATGCTCTAGTTGTGGGGGGCATTAACACTGCATCACTATACCACTGACAGACAAGTATTGACAGTCACAGAGCCTGGACATTGAGTCCAAGTAAGGCTGAAACAATCCATTGATGCCAAAGATCAAATTGTAAAACATCCTGTGTTTTGTTCTGTATAACCTCTTCCAAATTATTTCAATTAAATCCCATTAGATTGCAGTGATGGATAATAAGGATTTATCACATAAATATCATGACGAGTACCCTGGGCCTATTTGCTACAATAACTTGGTTTGAAGTCCGATTCAAATGTCACAATGCTAAAATGCTGTCCAATGAAATTACACAGGTATGAAAGAAGTTCTTCTGGAAGTCACTGACAAGATGAAGTAAGATGGCAATGTCACTTCCCAAACAAAGCTACATCAGCAATAGGTCCATAGTACCTCTCATGTTAGATGGGACAGATCACATGATGGTTAAGATGTTTTTGGAAAAATCGGCTTTTGTTTTTTAAAATAAACATAAATGACCACAATTTGACTATGACAAAGTATATAGTGATATGTATGGTCTGATGGACAAGGTATCAATTGTGACGTCAGTGCAGTGTCTCAGCCCTCTTCCACACACTAGTGAGCAGCATCCAGTACAAGAAACAAAAAGGGCAAGGTTTCCAATTCTGTGTCAGTTTGTTGCAACTGTATGTGCACCTTTGACCTAACTGGTCGATCCTGGATCTAAGGTGTGACACACACGTCTATCTGGCTGAATTAATGAGTCATGGTGCACTCTCTTAACAATAACCACTGAAGTCTTTGAAAGGCATTCAGAAGAGATACACGTAAGGAAGAGAATTTAGGGATGTCAACTTCTTTAGTATGAGGAACACAATGTTTCACCTGATGAAGGAGTAAGAGCATACTCCATAATGTTGTGTCCCTCATGATATAGAAGTTGACGTCCATCAATTCTCTTCCCTAATAACAGCTGGCATACAAATTGTCGTAACAACTGTCAGTCATCACCTCTTCACTGAACCAAACCTCCTAAATACAACCTATACTGAGTCAGTTCACTGAGTAGTCTCATATCTGCACCCCAAGAGTGAGTGAGTTTGGTTTAACACCGCTTTTAACAGTATTCCAGTTATATCACGGCGTGTCAGCTTAATGTGGGAGGAAAGCCCGAAGTGATGCAGGTCTCAGACGTTTACCACTTCGGTGAAACCCACAAGCATGGCGCCTTAGACGACTGGGCCACCCTTGCCCCCTCTGCACCCCAGGATATGAACCACATTAATCTGCGCCAGTCATGAGAGAAGGCAGGACCTGGAAGCACCGATGAAAGCATGACAGAAAGCATCCAGACACTGTAGCAGGGGGATTGTTAGTGTGAGCCCTACATCTCACAAGAGCAGCTTCAGCAGCAGCAATCAGATCAATTGTCTTGTGAGTGAGTGAGTGAGTGAGTTAGTGAGGTTTGATGCTGTTATTAATAATATTTCAGGCATATTGGTTTGAGGAAAACCAAGAATCAGCTTGACACACTCATGTTGAGAATCACATCACCATTAGGCTACCCCTTCCTAGACAATCAGTGATGCATTTATTGCAAATCAACACATTGATATTTGTTTCTATGTGAAGATGTAATCGTTTTGAATAAATATTGTACATTATAAAGGTAAGATAACTGAATTATAACTCCACAAATACAATCGTAACATGTGTTTACTTTTTGACAAGCATTTTCATCATAGGATTTACCCATTGTGAGATTCATTTACCCTTTCAAAGCATACTGGTAAACATGTTATGAAATTATTGAACATCCCACCAGTCGAGTGTTAACATGTGATAATGTGCATACTTATGATTAAACGTGAATGTCTTCGAACTTAGGTGAGATTACTTATAAACAAAAACAAACACAACCTAAAAATGAACAATCCATTTGTCGGCAATATTTCAGATCTGTCAATGAAAAAAAGCTGTCATTCGTTGATCATTTTGCTCATTTGCAATCACGTAGTGATCAATCAATACATTGTAGGTTTCCTTGCTTGATCAATGTGCTCAGATACAATCGACAACATTTTCAAAACATTTTCTCAACTCTGCCATTTCAATACAAACATAAGGCAGTCTGACTATATACAGTGTGGCTATACACATATTTACACACAACCGTAAGAAAATAACATATTCTACACTATTCTACCAACAACACCAGTTGGAGTAAACACTCCCATATTCATTATTGACAACTTCTGCATGCAAAATTCCATGCTGATAATATCTTTGTTTAGCGGGTTTGGATGAAAGCATTCCGTAAGAAATACATACAACAAAAAGTAATAAATATGTGTATACATAGTTTGTAAATAAAGCACAACCAATGTAATGTACACATAAACAGAAACAAAACAATTCAACACACACATAGGTGCATTCAATCCTAAATTGATTGAGGTTTTGCTTATGAAGTCTTTGATTGGCATTTAGAGAGAGTTAGTGAGTATGGTGTTACGCTACTTTTAGCAATATTCCAGCAATATCACAGCGGGAACACCAGAAATGGGCTTCACACATTGTAGTCATGTTGGGAATCAAACCCAGGTTTTCAGCGTCTCAGGCAAACGCTTTAACCACTAGGCTACCCTTCTCCTCTTTGCATTTAGAAGATGGCAGGAAACGTTTAGGATACAAAATGAAGAAGTTGATATCCACAAAGTTTCCTCTCTTCGCATTTTGCTCAGATCGGTGAAATTAGTTTAGGTTTCTGTTCATGAATCTCAGCAATATCCTACTGTGTCATTCTTCTTGACATGGTTTTACAAGTAATATAGAAAAAATTAAACCTAATACACTAAACCAGGCTGTAATTAACAATAAAGTTATAACAAACAACTTCAACATATATACATAAATAATTTGATACCTTTTACTCCTTAGAATGTGACCATCTGTTACAACGTATGGAATGACTGTGTAAGTAGGGCAAAACATCTTGCACAACAGGGGAATTGTTCGCCAGGTGTAGAACAGGGCAGAATAAACAGTACCGATAATCTTGAACACAAACATTTCATCTTTTATATGGAATGATATTGGGATACATAATACCAGACTGGAACTGACTGACAAAAACACAACAATAAGAATATTAATCTGTCTTGAAATAATGAAAATGAGAAAAGCCATGGGAAAAACATCTTCCTGATGACTATACATGCTACTTCAACTGTTACTACAGCTTTGGACTAAACATCAAGTGGCATGTTTTGTTATCATCTGATAAGGCAGCAGTCAAATATTGTATTACATGGAGAACTCGTAACTGACTTTCTAACTTTGAGCGTACTCTAAATCAGTAAATGGATAACCTTCCCATCTCTTTACCTATACTAAATGTTGACCCAACACAATTCTGGTCCTCCATATTATGAAATCTGAATAACTCACTCCTTGATTCTCTCTCCATCCCCTTAAATATATCTCTTACACGCAGTTTCTTAGGAAACATATTTACTACGGTGATGTTGCAGAGGCCCTTTTTTCCAACAATATCTTAGAGCTCCGACTACATCAAGTCAGAGTTAGGGACCGACTATTTGATTTTACTGAAACAAATAAACTGTCCCGGAAATTTCTTTAAAACAATTATTATGCTTCAGACCTTTGAAAGAAAAGAAGTTTCCTGCTGCAAAAGTTACATTGTTGCAAGGTGTTTTTCTTTAAACTAAAATTCAGGCTCATAGTTTCACACACAAAAAATATCTGGTTTGCAGCTGAAGCTGAAAAAATATCTAATGTGGATACAAAATCCTAGTCTGTCTTACAGACCCTGATACAAATATATCAAATACAGCCCATGCAAGTCTATAATGTATGGCAAGTCTAGATTACTGTGAGTCTTTGGACTCCCTTTTATTATATTTTTATTAAGATAATTGAACAACTGTTTTTTTCTGTACAATATGTTCATTTCAGAGACTAGATGTTAGTCTAACAAAATCCCAGTCCCCCTACCAGATTATCAAACGATCGGTCCCTTACAACTCTCATAGCACTAGGAAGGCTTTTTTGGAATAGGGCAAGGTAATGCATTTACAGGCAATAGCAGCCTATGGTATGATACACATTAAAATCCTAAATTATCACTGTTCAACAATGTCTTCTACTCAAGCAAGAAAATGAGCACTAATACACAATGTATGTTAAGTTGTTTCCGTCTAATTCTACTTAAAACATAACAGCATCATGTCCATTCATAAAAAAACCTATTTCTGTCCCCAAAAGATTAAAAAATCAAATTAATACAAAAAACTATTATAATAATCTATAAAAATAATAATTTCCCTTTGAAGTTTGACACCACAACTAGTCAATAACACCATTCTCCCATTTATCCTCCAGTTTTTAATACAGGTGAATTAGTTCCTTGATTCCAATGTGTGTCTACTAAACCCAGGCTAAACTGTCTCTTCAGGGCACTTTCTCACTCTCACTCTCATAATGTGGGAACTTTCCGGGTGGTCTCACTCAAATACATTGTTTTGTGACAATAATCAAAGAGCGAAGATAATTTGTTCTTGAAAACACTCACAGAAGGCTAGTTTTATGGGTGTGCTCCTCAGAAGTTTCATTGGAATCTAAGCTGCATTAAAGTTATGAGGCATACCTCACAAGACTTGAACAGAACTAAATATGGAGGTGGAGATACCACAAAGAGAGACTTCACAAATCCTCGTCCAGAAAATGTGAGAAAAAAACATTCAAGGAAGAAAAGGGATCAGAGATATGTTGATCAGCATCTTTTCAGAGTCCTTTCTGCTAGATTGTCTCTACTATTGACAAGGATCTTTAGAAAAGTTCAGATCAACTGAAATGTTGTTCCAGACATAAGTGGATGGACAAACTGTGGATGACCATGAAACTGTCATACCGTAAAACCTCCTCAGATTATTAAAGGGAAGTATGCTCTCCAGTCTCAACCTAGATGTTGTAGTTATAGTGACAGGATAAATTGAGTAATGGATTCCGTGTAATTGGGGTGGCTATTTATGGCTAGATTGATAAACATCATAAAGCTCCAGTTTGCAAACAAACTGTGTTTTGCATGACTTCAATCAAGCTAAGACTGTCTTGGATGCTAGTCACCCTGTATGTAAGTAAGAGATATATTCTATACATAATGAGGGCACCCGTTGTGTAGAACACACACAGTACTAGGAATAATAATCAAAGGATGGAAGCTCATGGCTCTCCACATTTGTATTGGGGGGGGGGCACCTATTGGGTCGAGTATGATACTAGGAGTCAACACTACAGAAGAGGAGCTAATTGTCCCTCTACATTTGTAAAGGGGACATCTGTTTGGTAGAATACAGTACCAGGTGCATCACCATGGGAGTTGAGCTCACATCTCACTATATTTGCAATGTGAGCACCTATTGGGAAGGATACGGTAGGACAGTTTAGCAAGAACAAAGCCGCTTATCTGAATGATTCATCCAGATGGTCAAAGATGGGATGAAGTGACTATATCAGTGGCATCGAGCCGTTCTCGTGTAAATACAGGCGGGTAAACATCAGGGAGCGGAGTATTTGAAGCCTCCACCACCAGTCCGACACACAGTCTCCATCCACTGACAAAATGTCGACCCAACAAGCTCTGTAATTATAACAAATTAGCAGGCTACAACAGTGTAATTTGTACTTTTCTCCTTCTTCGATCAATCAGTGCATGAATCCATACTGCAGTCAAAAGGTTTTGTGAGAGAGAGGGTCTTACAGCAGGACCCCCATTCTCTCTCCACTCACCCCTTTCCCCTCTGCCACACCCTCCCTCTCTCCCAGCCCTGACATCTTTCAGATTCAGTAGTTTTGCTGACTGCTCTCAACTACTGGACAAACATTCAGACCCTAATCACATCTTATCTTAAATTAAGATTAGAAAATTTAAATTCATATTTTTGGGTGTTTTTTGTCTATTTACATAGATATGCTATAGTCATTTAGATAGAATGTCTTTCCAAAAAGGGAACTGCTACATTTTTTTAAAACTGAAAATGAATTTGTCATATTTTCTTTTAAGATGCAAGGCATCTGGTATCGGGTTGAAGGTAACATCTGGCAAAATAAAACTCTTCCTAGTTTGATACTTCTAAAAAAAACCTACTATCGTCTTTCTAAAGTGATTTTGAAACTAAAATATTTATAAGAAAAATCAATCAAAACAAAAAAATCTACACAGTAGGCACATTACTGGAAAAAACACAAAGCAAACATTCCTAGATAATTGGCAAGACATTCTTTGGTTCAGAACAGATTGAATGTAGATCTGTGTGATGTTCTTAAGCTGTTGATCCCATAATTATAGAAATGCCTGAGGGTAAGCTGAAAAACTACCAGATAAAACTGATGAGATGAGACTTTGATCAAAACTTTTATGCCATCTGACCACTTTGACGAACACTGAATATGAAGTGTGTCCAATTAAGGATGAATAGGATTCTCTCGGCCTGTCCAGAAAAAACACATATTAACAAAGGCAGCATCCCAACACAGCACGCAAGTTGGTAAGATTCTTTTCATACATCACAACGATTAAAGAAACTCAACACCCTACTATTATATCATTTCTTTTAGAAACATGAGTAGAATCTTGGTAACACTTCAAAAGGGTCAATCACTCCACTATGTGAGTACTTATCTGTAAATTTCTAGTTTACCTACAGATTCCTTTCAACAAGGACCTTAAAAAAAAGAAGAAAATAACAGCTGATACTGATAAATATTCCAAAGAAATGTAAGTGAAAATTTACCCAAAAATATCAAGGTTTGGTTCAAAATGTTTCCCTAAATTCAAACTCTCTTCAAACTAAGTATAAAGTTTGATTAACTCAAGTACAAACACAATCACAAGTCTAGCACACGTTAACATTAGCCAGAGAGCACAGGCATAGAAGATAGAAGTAAACATGTTCCAGGCTATCATATTCCTCTATCAGTACACAGCCACAGCTAAAGTATCATTAATACAAAATATACACTTTCATACACAACTGTTAACAATCTCTACAAAAGTTGTTTGTACAATCTTATTTTACAGATAAATCAAAGCATTCTATCTGATCCTCTCAGCACACAATCTCAGCTGTAAATATCATCCTCCAGTCTCCTTCTGCCTCCAGATCAGACTCCCGATAAAACTGTCTGCGTTATTTATTTACAAACAGGAAAACATAATCCCGTATTGCCTCCATCCAGTCGCCCGACCAGCCCATGCTATCTGGTCCCCCTTCATTTGATGCAAAAACAAAACAAGACAAGCAGCAAATTAAAGGGCACTCCTTTACAATAGAGAGTCTGCCTAGACAGCCGTGTGTTTGAGAGGGTGATCAGTTGTGAGGTGATCAGCACTGGCGGTGGGGGCTCGTTAGGCTTTGTTTGCCAACATCCCACCCTTGACTTGCTGGAGCCACGACTTGCTGATGCTGGCGAGATGCCCTCTCACCTAGTCGCACCCCCCTCAACTTCCCCTACCACCCCCTCCATTTCTCCTATCATCCGCCTCCATTTCTCCTATCACCCTCCATATCTCATAACAACTCACTCCATCAAACATACCCTTTAATTTATCATACCCTTCCATTTTTCATACCACCCACTTTCATTTCTGACACAACACTCCATTTCCCCAACAAAGTCCCCCTTTCATCTGCTCTTGTAAAGCATTCTCTGCTACTCTTTCTCAAAGTTTTAACTATGTCACATGTTTCCTCCTTTTAGAAGTCTTCTTTTCTTCAACCATTTCTTCAATTTTCACCATTTTCTCACTGACACTCTTGACACTCTCTCTTCCAGTCTACTGTTCCTCTGTTTCCACTACAAACCTCATTTTTTGTATTAACTTTAATCTTCTACCTGAAGCATTTCCAACACATGTATCTAAGGTCTGAGATCCCTTCCTATCTGGATGAATCTCCTACAGATCACAGTAAGTATATGTTTAGACCTTACACTCCACCACCATGCTTGGTAACATGACAATGAAACTCTACATGGCTAAATGTTGCTGTATAGTTTGTAATGAGGGCTTACATTGAATTCAGTACCCATGTGTCAAAGTTGTCAACTGAAAGCCTGGGAGTTCAAAGAAGTTTTATAAACAACACAAAGCATAACCAATATTGTATGATAACTCAACACTATTCCAGCCTCATCGATCTCCATGTTGAGGATGACACCATCCATCACCCTTCATCCTCTTCCTCCACAGGTAATATCTCCTCCCTTCCTCTTCAAGACTCTCCTCTCTGCACCAGTCAGGTCAAGCCAATGGACATCTTCAATCTTAATCAGTCTTTCCCAGTTACCAACAATCTATCCCCTTGTTCAAAATCCATGTTGCTATCTTATCAATTGTTGTCACCTGATCTTTGTCATCACCCCCCTCGCTATCTTCTTGCACTCCTCAGATCATCGTCCCCATCGTCTTGCACTCCACCCCCCTCTCCCCATCGTCACCCCCCTGCCCTTCATCCTCTTCACACCCTCCACACTCTCTCCTCCTCACTGGAGTCCCGGCAATCATCTGTGAAAGAGAATATAGATCAGTGACTTTCAACAAGTTAATGAGGACCAGCTAGGTAGGCCAGGTACAATTAACGGTACACACAAGCTGTGAGCGGCTCCACTCTGCTCTGTCCCGTAGATAAATTTGGCAAGGAGAAGCAAATAACAATAATCAGACGGTCTGCCTTAAAAACCAGTCCCTACTTCTGCGTAATCAAGAAATCCCATCTCATGTTCTAGGGGCACAGCGTGATTGATACATGGTATTAATTTACTAATATGACACGCATGTTCAACACTATCACATGTTAGGATCATCATTTCTAAAACAAAATGGAAGTAATTGTCTGTATTGGTAATAATACAGAGCTAGCTAGAGCCCAGCTTGCTGTCTCCCTTTCCTAGTGCGTAACAGTCAAGAATCAAATTAACTCCTCCTCATGCAGTGCAGTGGAGGTAATTTAATGCATGAAGCGACGGTACTCTGCTGGGGTAATAGTGTCTAGTGGAACAGCTCTCGTTACCTGCAGTCTACTAATGAGTGAGTGAGTTGGGTTCAAGTCTGTTCTATCTTGGAGTCCTCGAACCCTTCCTGCCCAGCCCTTACTGTAATGCTATAGCTCTACACGAAGCAAGTCTAGATTTTCCACAGATTCTGAAACTCCTATCTCACTTGTTAAATGTGGTTGCTTGTTTCTATCAAAATTCCAGGACTTATATGAGAGGAAAAGTACTGTGCTGACACAAACTATAACCACTACATCTTCAGCCTAAGTCTAATAAAGTTTCTTTTGGTCAAGGTAGCTCAGCCAATGACACATATATTAACACTAAAATGTACTGAAAATGAAAATGATGAGACAAGCTTTGGCTAGAAGACGAAAAAGGCTTGGCACAGATCACTGACAAATAGAGCAGTGTTCAAATTATGGGGGTTTCTCAGATCCTTGAGGTCTTTTCCAATGGTATTTGAATCTGGGGACCCCTATACCTGAGTGAGTGGGTGAGTTTGGTTTAACGCCGCTGTTAACAGTATTCCAGTTATATCGCAGCGTGTCAGCTTAATGTGGGAGGAAAGCCCGAAGTGATGCAGGTCTCAGACGTTTACCGCTTCGATGAAACCCACGAGCACGGGTATAGTGCTGACAAACCTAGAAACATAATTGGGGTGAACCGGGATTCGAACCCACAATCAAAGGTTTCTGGCGTGCCCAAGGGACATAACTCTGCACAGCGAATCGCGGCGCCTTAGACGACTGGGCCATCCGTGCGCCCCCACTATACCTGAGTGAGTGAACAGTATTCCTGTTATGTCACTGTGTACACTATGTTAAAACATTGGGGTTATGACAAGGACCCTGGCACTGCTGTGATGTGCAGGCGCATCATGCAGATGCACAGCAAACTGCAGTGGCTTTGACCACTGTGCCACCTCACCTTCTTTGAGTGAGTGTGTATGGTTTAACGCCACTTTTAGCAATATTTCAGCAATATCACAGTAGGGGGATACCAGAAATGGGCTTCACACATTGTACCCGTATCGGGAATCGAACCCGGGTCTTCGGCATGACGAGCGAAACACTTTAACCACTAGGCTACCCGACTGCACCACACCTTCTTTGAGTACCTCATCACCTAACATATGGATTAAATTAGACTATGCTGTGCATTAACAGCAAATTACGCTGGGCAGAAAAACATGACTCGTATTAGTACATATTTGTCAATGACCCCATAAGTAAACAGTATAAATGTCCAAGGCTTATTATTTATAAAAGCTACATTAAACTACGGTTATAGCAAACTCAAAGGGACCACAAGTTCTAGTTTGTTATAACCGTAATTCGTTATAAGCATATGTACAGCAGAGATACAGCAAATGGCAGGGACCTAAAAACCAGTTTGTTATAAGCGTGTTCGTTATAACCGTAGTTTACTGTAATCAATACCGGAATTTCCTATAAACAATCCAAATCCCTTGTTACTCAACACTAATTAACTGTCACTGCTCAATTTAAGCATGTGTTCATGTGAACACGCAGTACTACATATTCTCATCGAAGAGAAGCCTGGTTTCTTTGAATCAATTTGAGTCCTCTAATCAACTGAAAGAATGTGTCTGTCAAGTTTATCTGACCTGTGCCATGTTTAGATGCAAAGAACATAATCACAAAAAACTACAAGAATATACTCCAAACATACTTTTTTTGCACAGATATAGTCTGAGTTATCTTTTGACAGACATAAAGTTTGTTTACATCTGTCATAGAGATACAAAAGTTTCTACACAAGGTAGAGTTCATGAGAAAGTTAACTGGGGAGAGAGAAATTATCCCCAGTTGTAGAAACATGCCAGTGCATTCTGCCAGGTCAAGGATACCTCAGTTGACTTCCCTTGACAGTGAAATGAATCAACTCTGACACAGAACCCATGACTTCCCTTGACGGTGTACGAGTCAACCCAGACAGAATACCCATGACTTCCCTTGACTGTGTACGAGTCAACTCTGACACAGAACCCATGACTTCCCTTGACTGTGTACGAGTCAACTCTGACACAGAACCCATGACTTCCCTTGATGGTGTACGAGTCAACTCTGACACAGAACCCATGACTTCCCTTGATGGTGTACGGGTCAACCCAGACAGAATACCCATGACTTCCCTTGACGGTGTACGAGTCAACCCAGACAGAATACCCATGACTTCCCTTGATGGTGTACAAGTCAACCCAGACAGAATACCCTTGACTTCCCTTGATGGTGTACGAGTCAACTCTGACACAGAACCCATGACTTCCCTTGATGGTGTACGAGTCAACCCAGACAGAATACCCATGACTTCCCTTGATGGTGTACGAGTCAACGCTGACACAGAACCCATGACTTCCCTTGATGGTGTATGAGTCAACGCTGACACAGAACCCATGACTTCCCTTGATGGTGTATGAGTCAACGCTGACACAGAACCCATGACTTCCCTTGACGGTGTACAAGTCAACCCAGACAGAATACCCACGACTTCACTTGACGGTGTAATGAGTCAACTCACACAAAGTACCCATGACTATCCTTGACGGTGAAATAAATCAACTTGACAAAATAACCATGACTTCCCATGACCGTGTAAAGCATAAACTCTGACACAATACTCATGACTTTCTTAGATAGCTTGCTTAATGAGTTGATTTGGACAAGGTGATTATGACACAATACCCAAGACAGCCAGCGCAATGTGTTGATGTGGACATACTACCCCTAGTGGCTGGGCAGCCAGGAAAGGATGTTTGATATGGTAATATCCCACACCATGGGATTCCTGTCCTCTGGTACCTCTCTATACTGATGAGTGTGTAGCTAGCTGCCATGGAGTGTGATGAAGGAGGTGTTAGACTGCCCTCAGGTTAAACACAAGTGTGGGGGATTATTCAGTGTTTCTCATCAACCAGTATACAAGAAGGCAAGTCACTGACATTTCTTGATAAAATTCTTTACATTAAATACATGGTGTATTGGCCTCATTAACTTTCACCGCACTAGCTTAAAGCTATAAACATGACAAAATGCCAATTATATTCTTCCTCCAAGTGATTGAACTGAACAGAAATGGCATTACATGTGTGCATGAATAAATATAATGCATCTTAACTCTCCTTCATGTCCATGCAATTAAGAGGACAAAAGTAAGAATCCCTTTCTTAATTAGAGGACATTGTTGCCATGATCATTGATTATTTTTAACCGGCAAATTAACATAAGACTTATAGAATTAACAGTTTCAACATAACAGTGCATGTAGGCATTCAGAAAGATTAAAAACCAGACATTATCCAACAGGACATCCATACATATTAAAAAGTCATAGAAAGATCTTTGACAGGAAGGGACCCTGAACATTTGGTATTTTTAAGATCTGTAGGTATATAACTGAGCAATCTTGGTAAAGGCCACCTAAAATGTGTAGAAATTATACCATTGCCAGATTCAAACCTAGGACTATTTGTGTGATGAGCAATTACCCAAAGTGCTGGGCTAACAAAACCAAATTGTTTGAATGTAAAGTATGTTTGTTTGTAGATTTTATCAAACAACTAATCCGGTTAATAGGCCAGCAACTGAAAAAATTGACTTCAATTAACATAACCAGGAAGTGATTTTTAAGTATCTTTAAGAGGATGATTAATGATCATGCAGAAAAGTAAACAGTGTTATTTTGTTCCCACTTTGTTGACAGCAAAACAAAACTTCAATATCGAGATACAGGTGTGAGTGTCTTTTAGCCCCATGGGGATCCCGGCTTAGGATAGGTCCCATGCAACCGAAGTTTGTGGTAAGAGATGACTAAATGGATTGGTTGGTCAGGCTCGGTGACTTGGTTCATAGCGTTTGTATCCCTATACTGTGAATGGTTGCTTTTAATATCAATCACTGGTTTGTCTGTTGAACATCTGATTGTTTACAGGCAGTCGGTGCAGAGTGCAGCATTAAACAACAATCAAAACAAAACAAAACAAACAGAGTTTGAACTATTCGCAGCAATAGCAGTGAGGCTCATGGTTGCAGGAAGTTATAGTAATAATGTGGGAACTTTCTGTAGATTGATCTATATTGCTGGAATATTGCTAAAAGCGGCATAAAACCATACTCACTCACTCCTGGCAACTTCAATTTTAACAAATGGGCTTCACATATTGTACCCTTACTGCAAATAGAACCGAGGTCTTCAGAGTGGTGAGTGAACGCTTTACCTGCATGGCTAACTCACCACATCGCATAAGTGAGTGAGTGAGTATGGTTTTACGCCGCTTTAGCAATATTCCAGCAATATCACAGCAGGGACTACCAGAAATGGGCTTCACACATTGTACCCATGTCAGGAATCGAACTCAGGTCTCCGGCGTGACGAGCAAACGCTTTAACCACTAGGCTACCCGACCTCCCCACACCCCATAACTTAAAAGGGTCAACACTCTGGGTATCCATTAATAGGCTCTACAATGTTCAGCAATAGGCTCTACAA